GGCAGGACAGGCTCACCATGAGGCAAGGTGAGATGACCACCTCAGGCAACAGGATCCACAGGGACAGCAGATCCCAATGTAGATCTTCAACTTGTTCCTGATAGAGATCTTCAGCCATCCCTTCTTCCCTAGTGGGGAGGCGGGATGCCATTTTGTGGTTTACGTCAGATGCCAAAATGTATTGGGTCAGTCCTGGGCATAAGGCAGACTGTGGTCAGTGGGGCAGCCACCGACTTGACCTAATGAACCAGCCTCCATTGATTGCATTGTTGAAAATCATCTCTAGATATTTTTTTCTCCTTGTGATTAGGCTTAGAGACTACAAGTACATGGTTGTTTCAATGGGACTTGCATCTGAGTAGAAATATTTAGGATTGGGCAGTAAGGGCCCTCTTCGACAATACTGTTTATTTGGTCTTTTACCAGCCATTTCATTTGATACTTCTGTTTTCATCGTGCAAACCCTATTAATTTATTTTCTGTTTCAAAACAAAAAGTTCTATGGAGATTTTCCTCTTGTTGGCTCAACGTGTTTTGTTAGCAGATGATTTCAAGGGAAGGAAACATTAGGAAAAAAATACTAACTACCAAGAGATTTGACTAGTGATCAGATTATTAATCCATAATAACTAAACTGAAGCAATCCCTTTGCGGCTGATACATGATAACATTCACAGAGCAATTAATAGAATTGATTATAAAAATCAATCAGATAAGCCCAGTGGCCATGATTAAATCTGCCGTAGGAAGAAAAACACAAAACAGAATGGATAAAGTTTTTGCAGTTGTTTTTAATTAAAATAGGCCTGGGGAATAAGTTTGTAAACTGGATTGAAATGCTACTTAAGCACTCTCAATCAATGCAGGAGTCTGAGGGATTTGTTCTAAACCCCTCACTCTTTTCTTGCTTGTTGTAGCCTAAGGCCATAGCTGTTCAAACAATTAGATTTCACCCTGTGATCAAAAGCAGAGCCTTGTAGGAACATCACACCATGCCATCATGCAAGGGAGAAAGAGTGCCATAATTATATGTTAGAGCACATGTTTGGCATGGGGAAGATTGCAGGTTCAATCCCTGGCCTCTTCAGGCAAGGAAGGAAAAGGCTCCTCTCTGGAGTTCTGAGCTAGATATTCCAATGGCCTGATGTCAGCCTTTGTACCTATGTACCTTACTAAAGCCTATGCTGATGAAAACCAGTGCTGTTAACCAATGATTTGTGCTGGAATTTCTGGTCAAGTAAGTTCAACACAGTCCTGTAAGACAGAGTTCAAGGCACAGTCCTTGAAACAGATACACATGTCATGGAGAACAACTGTCTGATTTGCATGATGCTGTACATCAAGAAAAAATTAAAGAGGTCTCCATAACATGATTGTAATGGGAATACTGTCCATACATCTGCCACCCTCATACCATTTCTTGGTATGAAGTCTTTGTCCCTACAACTTCATACGTACCAAGTGTCCTGTAAAAACCAGGACATCCTATTTTTTCATGCAAGATGGCTGCCACCATTTTGGGTGCTGAAACCTCACATGCTCTTGCCCTGAAAAAGTGCTTTTTTCTGGGTGAGATCAAGGCACGGGTCACGTGATTAACCTGGGAGTGCATCCTGGAAGACACACATCCTTGGTTTTGGTACGAAAAGTTGGATGGTATGCAGCTTGCATCATCAAACTGATGGCGAGAGCAGAATCCTAAACCCAGTTCTAGCATTTCTTCTCTTGCTTCTTCATAGTCTACCCAGTGCTTTTTTTCTGGGGGGATGCAGGGGTATGCATACCCCTAAACATTTTGTGAATCTAAATTTGACCTCATTGAGGGGCAGTATTTCAATATGAGTAGGAAAATGAGAGTACTCCTAAACATTTTATTTATTTATTTAGGGGGAAAAGCACTGAGTGTACCTAACAGATTAGGATTGTGGTTTCGCCTAAAAAACAAGAACCACCGTGCTGGCTCAGACCAGAGGTCTGCATAAACAGGAACTGTGCTGTCACAGAGGTCAGTGGGAATGCCAAAAGCAGGAGATGATACTCTCAATAGTATCATGATTCCCAGCAACTAGTATTCAGATGCACACTGCTATAGCATGGATAGTCAATGTGATCTCCAGATGCTGTTGAACTACAACTCCCATCAGTCCCAGCAAACAGAACTACTGGTCAGTGATCATCATCAGGGCACCACATTGACTACCCTGGTGCCATCAGAACTTTAGTAGTATGTAGGCCCTTTGAATTCTTAGTTGGAAAAAGTTGTCCCTTTATACACTTCCCAGGATTCTAGGATGGAAACTCACTGGAAAAGTAGCATAGACCTATCTTTCCTTTCAGCTATGGAATCAAGGAAGTGCCATGCCTAAATCCTGCCTCAAACCATTATAAGATTTTCTACAGTTTTTGGCCCGCAAGTGTCAGAGAGGCTGCCCCAAAGATGCCTGTGAAACAAGTGAAAGTAAGACATAGCATAGGATTCCTGTCCTGAAAGCAAGTTTCTTATTTGCTCTGCTGTACAATCCTCAGAGCCTGGCTGCTAAGATATTTATGAGCTATTTCTACAGCAGAACTGTGAAAATATCAGATTTTTATCTGCAAATATTTTTTTCCAATGATGGAAGTGACTTCCAGCTGCTCTATGGCCGTATCTATAGCCTGGTTCTTGCATGCAGTGCTGTGGGGGCAGTGGGGGGGGGGAAAGAGAAAATAAGTGTGAGTAGCTCAGCTGTATGGACAGTTCCCTCCACCCCGAAAAGGTGACCAGGTGTCAAAATCCTTCTTCCAACTCCCTGCTATGCATTTTTACCAAGAAGAAAGTTACATTATATTCAGTGAGGCTTATATCCATGTAAGCGTACAAACGTTTAACTATGGTGATCAAAATGAGGAATGATGAGAAACTGTCAAATATATGTTCCCAGGATATTCTAGCTATTTTCCCCCAAGTTGCTTTAAGATACTAGCATCCAGTATCCTTTTCAAGAACAAATGGAGGAGAAGAGGGAGGTTCAGGGAAAAAAATAGGTGTTTTATTCTGTTAATGAAGGTATCCGCAGGAGGCTACAAATTTGATTGGCAAGGCAGCAGTGGCAGAAGGATGTGCAAGTCTTTCTCAGTGGAGACTTTTCTATGATCAAAGTTGCCCTCCAACTACTTTTCTCCCCTCAGAAGGAAAAGCCAGGAGGCCCACATGGAGCTACATAGGGAAAAGCAGCAGGAGAGGAAAAGTAGCTGGATGAGACAAATGAGAGCAGGAAAAATGGGCTGTGGGGAAAGGGTGAAGCACCATCCCCCCCAACTGCTATTTCTCCATTAAAATTTGCAGCTCCTTACAGCAGCATTTCAATTTACTTGGTCCCCAAGAAGCAGTCTCTCAGCACACCGCTCCACCAGCAACAAAATCAGTAGGGGGAAATTCTGACCTAAGCTTGGGACTTAGTTATGATGTAGCAAAATAAAAAGAAAATACAAAAACCCGCCCTCCTTTCTCAGGATGTTTGGAATTTGGATGGATAGTGATCACTGAACTGTTGTCAGCTGAGAATAAGCAACCACTGTGGGGAATGTTCACTTCGTTGATTGTTTGCATCTGGCTTTTTAAATCAACAGGCAGACTCTGTGACAGCTGCAAAACCATAGTTTTGGATCATCTAGAAAAGCGATTCCCAGGATAAGGCAACAAAAGTCAACCAAAGAGCACTTAATTTTGAAAAACAAACAGCAAAGACAAACAGAAATATAGGCACTGGAAAAAATAAGTGCCTGAAATGTTTCCATACATTAAAAAAGAACCCACAGCACAAAGGATACATTTTCACAGCATGCTCCATCAGCCCATGTAGTAGGAATAGTATTTTATCTAAACTGTGACAGACCAGCATATAATAAAAGCAATGAAGCAGGAAGACAGAACAATGATGTTAAAATTGCCAACAAGAATAATATTATAATTCTCCCACATGGCGGTATGAAAACATAGGGAGCATCTAAAGGCCGTCAATGAAAAGCTTTGTGCTACTGTACTTGAAAGCTGTTGATTCTATGGGGATATTTCAGAAAACTCTTCAGCATTTGTTTGTGAAAGTTCGGAATTCAAACCAGCCCTCACAAATCAAGAAATCAACAATGGCTGCTACTCCATTTCTCTGAGAGACACGGTTAGTGGTGGGTTTTGTAGCAAATGCTATTCTTTCCTAACATAGCTCTCTCACCCCACCTGCAAACTGGGAAATCCCAGAGACTGAACCTTTGGCAAAGGCCTATTGCTCAGTGGTAGAACAGGTGGTTTGCATGCAGAAGGCTCCAGACCAGCAGGCGTTTCCCAATGCACAGTTCTATGCAAATTATGCTGCTTTCGTGTGGATCTAATGGGAATTTGGGGGCAATTCTGAATCAGTGGCTGAATAAAATAAAAGTGAAGTCAAATAAAGGAAGGAGTTAAAAAGTCTGCCTAACATTCCAGACAAAGTTTCCCAGGCTAGTTTCCCCCTGGTGTGTACCCAAACACAAACAAATTGAAATTGTGCTGATCTGTAGAGGTGGGCCCCCCCCCCCACAACTTCACTGCACTCTTAAGAGGATAATAAGCACACACCCTTCGTGCTGTGCAGTTCCTAATACACTAGACTCCCCCCCCATCACCTAATGCTGTGTGGGTTTACATATGTTCTTTCTGAGCACACACACATAAAGAAAAGACACAGGTGTGTGGCAGTGGTAAATGTTACATGTGCAAGTGAATGGCACACCCCACTATGTAGTTCTCTGATTTCCTTAGGAAAACAACTGGGTCCATTTGCTGGCATTAACCATGAAAAGGAGCACTTAACAGGTAATGTGAAAGGCCTGTGCTTGAGATCCTTGATTGCTGCTGATGGCCAGCAGTTGTGTGGAACCTTTGGCCCTCCACATCTTGCTGAACTACAACTCCCATCAGCCCCAGCAAGCATGGCCAATGGTAGTGGAAGTTAAAGGTCAGCAAGGTTCCCCACACCTGAGCTAGAAGGGCAAATAGTCTAACCAAGAATCTGGCAGTTTTCTATGTAATCTGGATTCAATGTCCAGGAACTGGCTAGGGATGCAATTGTTTACTTAGGAAGAGTGAGGACAACATTTTTATATCAACACATGTAAGTAGAAAATTACCTTGTAAGTCCAATGTGGTCACATTTGATTTAGTATGAGGGAATAAATAAAGTGATTACTTAAAGGCAAGCTGAAGTTGGAAAGAGGCATAAAATCCCTTCAGGCAATTTGAGAGCATTTTAAAAACACTATAATAGTAGCTCAAATAAAAACATATACTACAAACGGGAGAGGAAATTAACAAGTCTCAGATAAGGCCAGTGTGGTTAACTAACAGCCTCAAGGAAATTATAAAAGGCCAAAAAAGTGTACATATATATTTTAAGTGGGAGTCTTTCCCAAAGTAACATTTTTTTAAAGGCAAACAAAGAACTAATCTGAACAGTAAAATGGTTAAGTCACAAGTCTTTAAACGTTTCAGCAGCAGGGAACTAGCCACAGAGATGGCAGGCCCTTTTGTCATTTATGCGGTACATAAAGTATACATTCTTTAATCAGACACACATTGTTTGGGAGCAAGTGGTCTGCTGAGAGCCTGTGCTTATTAGCTTATTAGCATTTCTTACTAACTACCAGTATATGCAAGAGTTTTCAGCATGCATTTTGATTCAGTGGAATAAAGATAGGAGCAAGAGCAGATTACAGGATAAAATTATCTTTCTAACATAGTATCAAATATTTGCTGATGAAATTCAGTGTTCTTAACCTTAGACCTAATTCTTCCACAGCTGAGAATAAAATTTTACCAATAGTAGGAGTTGCCATGGAGCCCTGGGGCACCACAGTGCCTTCCAATACATACATACTATAGTACCTGCAAAAGGTTTCAGTAAACATGCTGACTATTTGCTTTCCCTGTTTAGTTTCTGATTGCACTGACTTGGCTTGTCCTATGTTGAACAATTTTTCCTTAAACAAGCCCACATTTCATTGGCACTTTCCCTCCATTCCTCCCATTCTGAACAGTGGAGAGAGATGCAAATAGTTTCTCTCCCTGAGCCAGCGTGGCTTTCTCCCTTTGATGAGCAGGGGCATACTTGAACCATTTTGTGGCCCTGTCTCTCTTTCTGCTCATATAAAAGAGACGTGACAGCCATTTTGTGTTATGCCATACCCCCAACAGCAGACCCCCAGCACAGGTTCCAGATGCACCCACTGGTGTTCAAAGGTTGGTGACTCCTGCCATAAGTACACCAGTATTTTCATTATAAGGAATGTTCTGCAGCTTCCAGAAAATAAACAGAAGCAGAGTGTTGGCTCTTCCATATTTTCTTATGCAATTCAGAAGAAAAGTTGTGAAACTTTGGTTGCTGTAGCAGATCCTCCTGGTTAATCATTCCAGGAATCCAAAACAGCTGGCAGTCTTTTTCTATTCTATGCATAAATATTTGACATGCAGGAGCAAGCCTTGGGTGAATGATTATGGCTGGGCTCACCAAAACCTTTTGCAGGATATTTGTGCTGCCTGCTTTAAGGGGAAGAATTCCAGCGACCATTTTATATTCCTTGCATTTCCACCAGTGTCATCTTTAAAATACAGCTATGCTTTGAAGACTGTAACTGCTCTGAGATAGCCACAAACCAAAGACATTTTGGACTTCCCTTATCTGGATCCAACAGGCACTTTAGATCAGTAGCCACCCATCACTTAGCCAGGAAAACAGTCTGTGTGAGGGTTTTTAGAGTGGCAGGCTCTCAGAATTTGCAAAAGTTCCCAGTTTAGCTCTGAGTTTTTAGGCCAGACCTTAAGATACGTACTTGGCTCTGAAGGAACTATTAAAGTTAACAGCCAATACAAATACTAATGAGAGAGAGAGAGAGAGAGAGAAAGTAAATTAATTAAGCACAACATTATATACTGGAAATCATAACAAAAAACCCCCCACTGTGGGTAGGAATAGACTAATAGAAAATCAGCCCTTAAGCAAAAGAGTTGCTGATACTGAAAATGTAAGACTGGAGGGAACAAAGTGGAGTTTGACATTACAAGGCTCAACAGCCTTCCACTGTAAAGACAACAGTTGCTAAGGTGAAGAACTGTTTTGACAGGCTGCTTCCCAAAGACCCACATCATCATTGTCAAAGAATCACTCTGACTTCCACACGCCTTCAATCCCTTAGGGAGTGAATATACCTGTAGAGAGAGGAATCGTATGCTTATGAAAGGGCCTTGGTAAGATACGAGAAAGCCTAAGAATAGATTGCAAAATGTTCTCTGTATGTATGATATATACTTTAGATAGAGAGAGGATTGTCTTCTGCTCACCTCTCAGAATAATGATATAAAAAGAGCCAAATGCCACAATGATTTCTATTTTAAGTTGCAACCCCATTTTCAGGTTATAGGCTTGTTGCATATGCTCCATTATGCTAACTGAGAGACGTTTGAGGGGTGCACTCTTAATTAAGTTTTCAATTCCTTTGGTTCTAGGAGACCATGACTGATGCAGTTGCACTGGGCACAGAGCTTTCTGGGTTGCTGTAGCAGGTGGCGCAACTATGAAGTCCAACAGAAGGTAGGAAGTGGGGGGGGGTGTATGTGCCAGATTTTGGCAATGCATGGGGCGCCACTGAAATTTGAGAGGCCAAGGTCTGTCGCTGTTTGGAAGGGAGGGTCACTGAAAGCTCCTAACCATTTTATAATATTTGAGGATCTGGTTGTGGATTTTGTTTGTTTGTTTGTTTTTAATAACATCATCATCATCATTATTTATTCAAACCGTATACTGTCCTTCATCCAAGGATCACAGGGTGGTTCACAACATAAAAATCCAAAATTAGAACATAAAATACATAATAAAACAAAAACAAACACAAGCCAATAGCACCACTCTCACAAACACATTAAAAAGGCCATAGAATGTTCTATCAGCTAAAGGCCAGGTTACAAACATTTTCTGCTGGTGCCAGCCTCCCTGGGAAGAGCATTCCACAGCCAAGGAGCCACCACAGAAAAGCCCTGTTCTTGTGTTAAACCTCTTCTGTTTTCCATTGCTGCTGCTGGTCACCTGATTTCTACTTTGCTCTTGGAGTCATAAAGTGACTCAGTTCTGGTCTACCATGTTTTACCGTCTCTAGCTATCAGCCATGCTGACTGTAGCTGATAGGAGTTGAGCTCAAGAACATATGGAGGGCCACAGCTTCTCCAGTCCTGATTTAGGCCCTATTGTGACAAATGCAACACCTGCATACCAGCTTCAGCCACCACCACCAGGATTTTGTGCTTCTTGCATGAAGAATTTCTGTGCAATAGAACTGCCCCAGCCCACCATTTGCAAGCAAAGACCTTGCAAAAATAAGATGTGTATGAGAGCCACTTGCCCGCATGATAAACTAATCATCATAGCATAGATCTGTTTAAGCCTTAAGGATGATCATACCAGATTACAGAATTGGGGCTGCTTTTGTCAGATACAATATTTTTTTTAGTGGCTGCTCACAAGGCACGTTTTCTGAAGCTCCATCTAATGAGGACTTCAGACACAGCAACATGGGCTTTATGACTTGAAGAGCAGAAGAAAAATGCCAGGAGAGCTGAAGTAATTAGGTCCTTGGTGTAAAATTAGCTACTATGTTGTAGGCAAGAAGGGGAATGGAAATGAGAGTTCTGGAGGAAAGTAATTGTTTCTCATAGTCTAGGGTGCAAATAATATATTAGAAGGTGATGGGGGGGAATACTATCGTTGGTGGGAGCCAAAAATTATAATTATGATAAGTGCCTGTGGCATGAACTCTATGAAAGTAAAGAGAGGACAGTCACTGTAGGAAATACCGCATATCTCATGATGAAGTCAAGAGGTGAGGCAAGTCTCTAGGTACTCTTGAGCCATGGCTGTGCCAGTTTTGTGCTAGAATCTCCTATGTATTAGTATTTTTCAATAGCAGTAGCAGTAATTCCCCCCTTCTTCTCTTTACCTCAGCAAACAAGTATTTCTCTTGCTGTAGCAGCCTTTGCCGGATCCTGCAGCCTTATTTCTACACAGTAAAATAGCTCAAGAGGCTGCTCTGAAATTCCATTCCCTCCTGACTAGGACAAACAGTAAATCTTGACTTTCTTATAGTTTACGGCTAAGAGAAGCGGCTCTCCACCATTGCCATTAGCTGGTCTCTGAAGGTTACCGAGCTATACAGCACATCGCGCAGTGTGTATTGATCTGTAAATGAGCTAGAGAAGAGACAGGCAATGATACCTCTGTAGAAATAGGTAGAAACAAAGCTCTCTCTGGGCAAACAGAAACAAAGAGTTAAGAGGACAGAGCAGAGGGCAATGGAGAAGAGTTCCCAAGGATATACAGAGCTGAATCTGACCTTGGATGGTAGCTGTTATGCTGCAAGAAGAAGCTACTGTGGAAGCCTTACTGCATGAGACAAGCAGGGCACAGCTATGCAAATTGTTTTTGTTTATTTCAGGGCTTGTAGCCCATCTTCCCATCCAAAAGGTGTCTTATAAATTTTAAAATCAATGCAAATTTTACAAAAAATAATATCATGACAATGGCTCAGTCCATTTGCTGCACTGAAAATGAGCATTGTCCCTGTGTCCCTGCAATTTAAGATATGTCTACAAATCTGGTTTTCATTTCTGCTTCATAGTCATCATGCAAATTGGCTTGTAGCTGGAAAACACCCGAAAGAGGCTCTTTTGGTGACACTGGGAGGCTCTAGCCATGATCTGCACCCGGGCTTTGAAGACGACTGGGGCTGACCACATAACACCCCGGCGAGATTGTGAGCCCTTCCCTGTTTTGCAAAGATGCTCCCGTCTCACTGCAGAAATTGCAAGACTGCAAGGCAGAGCTGCTTTTGAGCAGTGTGTGGGGTGAGCTGCTGCAGTGCGGCTGAAATAATGTCACGGGCAGAGGTTCAGCCTGGGAATCCTCGTGCACAGACTTCCGCTGTAGACTCGGGACATCCTCCAGGGTGAAGAGCTCCAAGCTGCCTCCCATCTCCCTGGCATCCCCATCCATCTTCATTGAGCTCAGCTCAGAGAGGCCATCACTGCACCACCACAGCAGTCCTCTTGCAACACTTCCTGCAGATTGTCGGGATGAAAGCAGCAGGTGTAAGAGACAGGGCTGCTGCCCCGCAGGACGCCCTCTTCGCCTCCCTCTTCCTCCAAATCCCTTTTCGCCAGCCGCGGCAGCTCGGAGGTGCTCAACAGCAACGGGAACCGTATACTCAGCCCTCTCTGGACAGGCTTCTGGCGGCACTGAGTGACGTTCCTGTGCAGTAGGGTGGGGGGCACAAAGGGGTTGGCGGCAGCAGGCCAGCCCTCGAGCTCCCCTTGCGGGGCCTTGTTCTCCTTGGCCCCCTTCCCCTTTTTCTTGGCCGTGCCCTTCCTGCTGGGGGGCTTTTTGCGCAGCCGGGCCTTCCTGGTGGGGGGCAGGAAATCGGAGTCCTCGGAGGAGGAAGGGGGGCAGCGGGGGCCTTTTCCTGCCTCTGGGCCTTTTGGACCCCCTTGGGGGGCAGGTAACTCGGGTCTCCGAAGGAGGAAGAGGTGGCCGCCTCCTCAAAGGACAGGGAGGAGGAGCGCTGCTGCTGAAGAGGTGCTTGCGGTCCACCGGGGGCGAGATCCAGGGGGCGGAACCAGGCCCTGCCCGAGCGCCCCTCACCCCACATGGGAAGAGTTTAAAATGTGGTTTCCTGGTTTATACTTAACAAGAAACTGTGGTTTAACAAAACCTTGTAATGCATTGAGGACACAACACTTAAACCATGGGTTTCCAGACTGAAAATGTTACATGTGAACTAAGCTGATAATAAAGGCAACCCTAGAAAAACCTTTCCTATTGAATCCAATGGAGATTACATCTGAGTGGATGTGCACAGGATAGCACTATAAGCACAGCAAAAATGAGCTCTGAAATAAAGTGTAATACAAATTCATGAAATTACAAGCATTTAAACAGCAGTAGCAGCAGCATTAGAATTCAAGTTCCTGAGTTTCAAACACTGCTTCTGAAGTTAAAAGACAAGGGACTATTTGATAATGCAGCTCTTATTGTTAAATTATTTGAATGTAATTTAGAGTTTGTGAATTTTCAAATTATTTGTGCATATTCATGTAGCCTGCAGACTAATTCAAGAAAATATTAGAAATAATTAATCTTCTCAAATAATGTTAAGGCAAATTAATTCTTTCCTATTTTTGATTTTTCATTGGATCCTGTACATCAGTTTTATGCTCCTTGGTGCTGAATGTTTCTAATTCTGTTGACTGCTTTTATAATGCTCTTTTTATATTTAATGTTCTTGAGTTATCTTTTGCTTTGTTTTCTTTTGTAATTTTAACTTTTTGTAAGCTTCTTAGGAAACTGCTGAAGGATGGGTCAACAAATAAATAAAGCAAAACAAAATTTAAAATTCATAAATCCAGCAGCATCCACAGTTGGAAAAAGTCTAATTATATAATATAAATTTGAATGTTTGCAAATAAAATTAAGTTAGGAGAAACTATTCTCACTCCTAATGAAAGCTTGGGATGGATGCTTCTATCCATCTTGTTTTCTCAGCTTTTCATTTTTCAAATCGTAAGTTCAGTTCATCAGCTTTACACAGCAGTTTTAAACTGCTCATGAAGATTTGCCACCGTTTTAGTGCACCTTTCCCTCTAATATGCATTTTTGTACACAGTTCTTTGATTGGATAAGTGCATCGCAACATTTCGAGAAGTGCCAATTTCAAAGGATATCTGTGTTTTGGTATGCATATTGTTCTGAAATGTTTGAGTTAGGTAGGCTTGTATTAAAGTGCAAACTGAATATTGGCTTGGATTCAACTAACTCAATGCACTAGTGGAAGCCAGCGCAAGAGCTCCTGCTGATGCAATGGGGCTTCCCTCCAGCTCTGCACCAAATCTGTTCTGGAGGAACAGGAGAACCCTCAATACAGGTCACGGGATAGGAGGAAGGGGGAGCAGAGCGTAAGGAGTCTTGTCCCCCCCCCTTTGAACAGGTTTTCTTGTCTTGACCCTTTAAAAACTGCATGTATTTTCAAGGGCTTCTATAAATTGCAAACAGAAGCTTGCTTATTTGATAAAACCCAGGCAGTCATGCTTTCAAAAGTGACTGGATCTGTAACAAAACTACTTAGTCAGCAGCTCCACAAAATGGTGTTTAGTGTCTTTTTTATAAAATCTGAACTCAGACAAGCATTGCTTTATTTGACCTGGAAAATCTAACTGGGGTCCCTAGCAGTGACTAATCCTTAGCTTGAAACACTCTGTGGCATGTGACCTTAAACCATGATTTGTAACCATCTGGTGAGTTCCTGGTGTGCTCAGTGGAGATTTGAACCTTCCAGTCCTAGTCCAACACTTTAGCCACTGCACCATACTATATATCATTACAGCCCTACAGTTCCCATGTTTCCTTGTCTGCCATGGGTGATAATGAAACAGATTTAAGATTGTTTTAAATTCAAAGTGCAGACATCCTAAATGACTTCTGGTGCTGCAGTGGAGACATGGCTTTGTCCAGGTTCTAGTTGGGTTGTTCAGATTATTTCCTGATGCATGCTCTAGACAAGGGGTGAGGAACTTGTGGCCTTCCAGATGTTGCTGGACCGCCATTCTCGTAATCCCTGACCAATGGCTATACTGGGTTGGTCTGATGGAATCTCACAATGTCTGTAAGGTTATAGGTTACCCATCTCTGCTCTAGACTATTAAAAGACCTGCTGAGATGAAGGTCAAATATAGGATTGGACAATCCAGAAGGAAACGAAAAGCAATGAACAGTAATGTAATCAAAAGTCACTTACGATTGATCTGCTTGTGTCTTAACAACAACATCATCAACAACAATTTATTATTTATACTCCGCCCATCTGGCTAGGTTTTCCCAGCCACTCTGGGTGGCTCCCAACAAAATATTAATGATAATGATGATGATGATGATGATGATAAAGTGATAAAATATCAAACATTAAAAACTTCCCTAAACAAGACTGCCTTCAGATGTCTTCTGAAAGTCAGTAGTTCTTTATTTCTTTGACAACTGATGGGAGGGTGTTCCACAGGGTGGTCGCCACTACTGAGACGGCCCTCTGTCTGGTTCCCTGTAACCTCACTTCTAGCAGTGAGGGAACCGCCAGAAGTCCCTTGGTGCTGGACCTCAGTGTAGAACGATGGGGGTGGAGATGCTCCTTCAGGTATACTGGGCTGAGGCCATTTAGGGCTTTAAAGGTCAGCACCAAAGGTCAGAACCATCCCTTGACCCAGGTCACTATTTTAAAATGCCCTGACTTAATTCCATAGTACAACATCTCAGGGGTTATAGTAGACAGAAAGGACAAAGGGAATACTAATAGGAAGATGAGTCTGTTTGCAGCCATACACAAGGAAGGGATCAAAATACTAAATGACACATCTATAAAGCTTAATTCTCATCCTCATTCTTATTTCTAACTGGTCCTTTGAATACAACAAATAAGTGAATGCCCAAAGCTGCTTCTGAACAGGAAATATGGGATCAACCCATAATTCTATTGGCAAGGTAACACTGTATTAAACTGAACTGATACAGCAGTATTAAACCCTAAGGAAAACTAAAGCTAAATTGGTAAATGAGTTAACATTAGTAATGTCTTCACTTCACACCATTTTAACTAAATACATGTCAATATCTAGACTCAGAAGAGAACATAATTAAATTTAGCCGAAGTCTTGATTGTAGCATAATCTAATGCCTAGCAAATGATACATTAGTTTTAAGGAGCACAGAATTGAGTTTTATGTGCTAATATTCTATTCTATTTATTCTATTCTATTTATAACATATATCACTATACTAATTTAATTTACTGAACATTGGAGAGGAAAAGCAAAGGGACATGGACTAAGCCATTTATTAAATATTGACGGCTGAGTGCAAGTTTTACATTTGATCTGTCAGCCATGTATTCACCTGAGGCATGTGCTCAGTGAATGTGAAGGAATGGGGGTAATGGTGTTCAAAATTCAAATATTTCATCAGGCTTTGTTAACTCTGTAGACTGCTGCTCAGGGAATGGGGATTAAACTTTTTTTCTTCAAGCAGAAGGAGTATTTTTTTTATTCACGGGTGCAGGAAAATTAAAAACCCATCTTCTAGTGGCATGGTTGCCATATATATACAGTGGTACCTAGGGTTGAGTACTGTTCTTAACCTGAAGCACCACTTTAGCTAATGGGGCCTCCCGCTGCTGCCGCGCCGCCAGAGCACGATTTCTGTTCTCATCCTGAAGCAAAGTTTTTAACCTGAAGCACTATTTCTGGGTTAGCGGAGTCTGTAACCTGAAGCGTATGTAACCCGAGGTACCACTGTGTGTGTGTGTGTGTGTATGTGTGTATGCTCAATACATTAGAATATTCAAAACTGATCTCATGCTAACTTTTACAGCTCAGTAGTGGAGCACATACAAGAGAAAGTCCTGAGTTCAATCCTGTTAGATCAGAGGTAGAGAATCTCAGGGCCAGCCAGGGTGTAAATGTGACCCCAGGCCTCTCTACCTGCCCCTGAGAACTCTCCCAGGGCCACCCTTCATTAGCCTTGCTTTGCCATGGCAGAAATGTGTCCTTAGCTCTGATAATGACTCTAGTTTGTCTGAATGGAGGCTAGAGGGGAGTGGCATGTGTATAGAAACTAGCTTACTGCAAAGTTGTTGGTTTTTTAAAAAAGTGGGTGGAGTAGCAAGCTCCTGACACAGGTTTCGTGGCGCACAAGTTGGGAAACACTGTTCTGAAGCCTCACAGACGTCTACCAGGACTTCTGCTGTGGTCTTCACCCTGGTCCAACAACCTGGCTGCCTCAGGCACTCAGCAACACAGCTGACTCTGAGCTGCAAAGCTCTCTTGCAGGCTGCCTCTTAGGACACCCACTCTTTCCCAGAGACCTCCTTCGTTCCAATTTCAGCTCTGGGCTTTTCTCAGACTTCCCAAGTCCCTCTGTCTGTCTTGATGTTCTCCGCCTGCCTCCATCCTCCAGCTCTTCCCTCTTCTACCCTCTTCTTCATACAGAGACTTTGCTTTGACTTTTGCTTGAGGCTGTCCTTTTCTTTCCAACCAGGGTCTCACTCTAGCCAATCACTTCAAATTTGGGTGGGATTTTGGGCCAATGGGGCAAGGTAGTATGTCCAGGGATGGACCAGTTGGAGCACCCCAGTTTTCAGGACACTGTGCCTGTATAGGTAACAACAGATTAATTGTTTCCAGAGCTCCTTATTTTGAAAGACTAACTGGCAGGAGTCTCTGTTGTAAACCATTTTAATCAATGGACTGCAGAAGTTTTGAAAGAATGTGTGGTTCGGGATTATATCCTCCCCCACGCCCCATTACACACACACACACACACACACACACACACCTGAATACTTCACTTCTCAACCTGACTTTTGTGTTAATGCTCCTTTGGGCACTCCTAATATATGCTCCTGTGCTGCTTGACCTCAAACTGAAGCTCTTGTCCTAAATCCTCTGTGATGGTAGCGCTGACACTGCATCGTGGGCTTCCTGTGTCTTTGGCGCAAACCCCTTCAGGCTAGTGCATAAAAATAACTTGCAACATGGGTGTCTGAAAGGAGTTCTGCCTGGTTTTTCTTTCCCTGGAGGGAAAAGTGCTGCCATGTGCAGAATGAGAGGAGTCTCTAATGAGCTAAAGAGGAGTTCCTGGAGGAGAGGATTTAAAATACTCCTGGAACAATGATACTTTTTCATTTGCCCATCCTCTGTAGCTTGACTAGTGCTAAATCCGATATACTTTGCTCCGCTTAGCATTGCAGAGATTAAACTCATGACTGCCTTTATTAGTATCTACATTTGGAATATATCCAGCAGGCCTCTGGAACTTAAATACTTTACTGTTTAATCCCAACATTAACATCTCTTCTGGAGTTCCCATTTACTTGGATTGATGTACATTAAAAAATATCTATGATCAAAAATAGATCACATTGATAGAGGCTGATTATCAGAAGACTTGTGCTGCACCTGTGCTGTAGGATTTACTGGATTTGTGTTGTTTTGACCTGATTACAGTGCCACAGTCTTTTTTCAGAGTGGCCCAGTTCAGATTTAGAGGCAGATTTAGGGCAACATGAGTAGTGTGGGGGCAATTGGGTGTGCAACTGAGGAGGGTGTCTTCTGAAAGCCCAGTAAGCACTTGCCTGGCTTCAAAAAGTTGGCATGATGGCTCTGACAGGTTCCTCGAGCCCTTCTTCCCAAAGTGCTTACCAGGCTTTGAGAAGGAAGTAGGAGGGCTCTGGGACCCTGCCAGCACTTCAGACCTCCCTCCCAAAGCCTGCTGCCTTGTTTTGATGGCT